GGAGAGAGAGAGAGAGAGATGCGTCGCGTGTATGTATGTGCAGCGATCAGCTGAGTACCCCGTGTAAGCGCTCGCGACGAGACGCGCCGTGCGCCCCTGCCTGCCTCTTGTACTCGGCCCGTCATTTGTTAACTATTTCTTTTAATAATTCAAAAACTAAGCTTCGGAGAAAACTTTGGTAAGAGAAAAAACGTCTTAGAATTTAATCAGGAATTCGACATTTCAGGAACACTATACCTATTCTGAATCACCCTGTATAGAGCGTTAGGGATATGGATCGATTTTTACATTTTTTAAAATTAACATCTTATTTTATTGTACGCAGTCTTACAATGGTTATATACAAATAAAATTGATTTACTAGGACGTCACCGGTGCAGACTCTGCTATCGAAAGGAGACAGTGCCAGCACCCACCAGTGTGGTCCTTGTAAATCAAGTTTATACTGTTTATACACAAATATTTCGAAGACGGAACATTTGTCCCGTAAGTTGTGTTCATGTCGTAATCCAAAGAATTGTAAATTTGATTTACAAGAATGCCACCGGTACGGACTCTGCCATCCAAAAGAGACAGTTCCAGCACCCACCGGTGTGGTCCTTGTAAATCAAGTTTACAATGTTTGCACACAAATATTTCGCAGACGGAACATTTATCTCGGAAGTTGTGTTCATGTCGTAATCCAATGGAGCCGTTGATCCAATGAAAACTCATTTTCTTCTCATTGGATCATCAGCTGCGTTACGATACCGACACACGTTAAGACAAGTATTGATCATCTTTGTAAAAATGTATCTCTTCAGGTTATGATACAGATGTATTTGTACAATTGTGATCAATTACTACTATTAAAATATGAACTACCGTAATTATGGTAGTAATCTTCGGAAATAAATGTGTTTACTGGGATGCATGTGTCTCGTCTGTTTCCTTCTAGCCTTTCTGCGAGCGTTCTTTGGCATGTGCCAACCATATTTTTATGGGAGTTGCGATTTCATCATCCGTTGCATCTGTGTGTATCTTACGAATCATATCCGAAAAAATAAATTCAAATTGACTGTGATGTAATTTAAAAAGTACAGTTTGGGCTTTTAAGATTTCTACTTACTCATAATTATTTTGCATATTTCCAATTGTGAGAAAATTTTTTTCTTTTTCACTCCAAACCAGCTGTACTGGACTGCTAGCTCATTAGACATTATTACTCTTATCAGTCGTATGCATGACGTTTTCATGTATTGACATGTTACACGTATTAATTGCTTTATCTGGAATAGTTTCATATTGACATTATTTTTTCAATTTTTAGTAGTTTCTTAATTATTACCCGTCTTTAATATTTTTTAAATTAAAATATAGATGTTAGTCTTACCACTTGACTTTTGTACCATGAATTATCTTTTAATTTTATTTCCATTGATTTTAAATCGTTTTCGTCTTTCTGAAGCAAATATTAAAAAATATCATTACTTTCTTTTTGTTCTTCCTCAACATTAAAATTTCCAACGTTTTCCACAATACGATTTTCAAGTGCTTTGATGTTTTTTGCAATGTCATTACATTGAAACTCCAAATTTATAAGTTTCCGTACGACAAAACGTGTAAAATTGTCAAATTCTACATACAAATAAAAACATGTTATTAGTTATTTTTGACCATATACAATATCAAATTTTTTACGTACTCTACAGATAAAAAATGAAACTAAGAAAAATATCATGCAATTATTTTATGGTAAATGACATTGTAACTTTTAAGAGTTCAAGTAAAATGTATAATACAAAAATTAATAGCATACTAACTTTGTTCTAAACTTTGTGTTTTGCGTTAAGAGGTCATTAATATTTTTTCTTTTTCATTCCTTTCCATTTTGGACGATTTATCGGTACACGAATGATCTAAAAACAAAGCAATATCATAACGCAAAATTGTATAAAAATCATTAATATTTACATTTCTGCAAGATATATATTCATTACAAAACGCAAAACGTACAGTAAGACAAAAATGATTTGTGAACTAACCTCTTTCTTCGACGAAATTCTGACTTGAGAGTGATTCAATGTCCTCGTTCCAGTCATCAATGTTTGTACAACATTGTGGCTCTACAAAAATTTAGCATTTTTATTTGCATGTATTTACTTTCGAAAAATGTTAGATTTATACACTTTAATATATTGTACAATATGCATATCATGCTCTAAATTATAATTATATAAAATTTAATAAACTGGACGTGGACACTAATATTTATTTATTTCTTACACACACGCACGTATACACGCATGCACGCACGTGCACACACACAAATGGATAAATACCTTGTGAATTAGATCCGTAATTATGCGCTGGCTCCAGTATTACGTGATGTTCATTGCTTTTACGTTCTAGTAATTCTGAAATGAAAAAATCAATATTTTCGTACTTCTTCATATCACGAGACACGGTAGTGTCTCGCGCCAAGTATAAGCGACTAAGTATAAGCGACAAGCTAAAACCACGCGCGCGACACCGACCGTGTAGTTTACGCGAGTACGCGAGTTGACGGGCCCTTAGAATTTCAGATCTCAACAACGGCTGATCCGACGAACTTGAGACTGCGCTTAATCGATAGCTTGGGTACGATTTGCATAATAAAAGTGTTTTTACTTTTCTTCTACGTGCCCCATGAGTAGAGATATTGCAATGCAAAGTCAGATTTGTGAAATTTTGGATTAAGAAACATCTTTATCGTCGTCCTCGTCGTCCCGGTCGTCCCGGTCATCGTCGTCGTCGTCGTCGACCAGACCAGGGGGTCTATTACGGTTTTTGGGTGAGCTCACTCACTTTTCACATTCTCATCTCACGTGACTTTGTTCATCCAATTACGGAACTGGCGAGTGAAACTGCGAGATCACTAGACACTTCTGTCTAGTGATCTCGCATTTTCATGCTGCCCTACTCTAATTATAAGTATATTTATAAGAAGATTAGCATTATGAACGTGACGGAAAAACAAAAATCAGTATTATTAAGGTACATGAAAGATAATCCCGATTTTGCGAAAGGTCGCCTGCATTATAATGGGGCAAATAAAAGAATATTAGTGAGTATATAAAACATAGGTTATGATCAAAAGTTGCATTATTTATTCTCAATAACTTTGCAAATATAGCTTCTCCAGGAGGAAATAGCAAATCGGATAGACATCGAATCGAAGTCTTTTAGATGTATCACAGGTTTAAAAAACATTGATTCGATGTCTGTCCGATTTGCATTTCTCCCTGAGTCATTGTAAATTATTGTAATTACAAGAATTATATACAATTTATACACACAAAAATAATTTAATATTTCTCTCGTGATTTGTGAATAATTGCTTTTTGCGCAGGATGACATGTGGTCGAAAATATCAAATTCCTTAAATTCAATTGGAAGTGGTCCACAAAAACAATCTAAAGAGTGGCAAAAGGTATACGAAGGACATAATTTTATGTCTAATAAATGTATGAAACAGATCATGCTAGGAAACATTTTAAATGACTATGTTACTACTATTACCATACATCACCTAATATTCAAAATAAAATTAATGTTTATAAAATTACCAAATAAATATAGTTTTATAATTATACAGACATGGAGAGACTGGAAAGCCAATGTATTGAAGAAATCTACGCAAAACAGAAGTTATGCTGTTGGTACAGGCGGAGGACCACCAAAAGTAATTGCGTTAACTCAACTGGAAGAAGAGTTATTGGAGATTTTAAGTCCTGAAGCCATTGGCTTAGATAATATACCTCAAGGAGGCGCTTTTAATAGAACAATGCAGAAAGAATCTGTCGATACTGTCTTCCCACAAGGAAAATTTTTGGCTAGGACTGCGCAAGAAGTTGATAGAATAAAAGTAGTAAATGTATCATCAGCTACTCCTTCGTTTACACAAACAAAAAGGGTATGATACGCTTAAAAATTACTTATTCTTATATTATATGGTACAGTTGGTTATGTAATTAATAAACTAAAGAATAACTGCTGATATATTAAAGAAATGAATTATACTTTAACATTGATTTACAGAAATGTACTCCTACATTGATGAATGCTGCAAAAGCTAAAATACAAAAGCATCAGGAAGCATCAGGAATGAATCGGACATTATCAACGTGTTCGAGTACAATCGTATCCAATGACACTGATAATTTTGCATCTGATTTTGAATTTGTAGCACAGGTTAATAAAATCAGGTCAATTGAATTTAATGGATGCAAACAATTTACATGTCACTACACTAAACATACGTTTTCAGGACATAGATTCATTAGAAGACTGTATTGATTTATCCGATACTGACGTAGTCATTGAACAGCAACAAGTAAATATACTGACTGATGAAAATAAAAACGTATCAAGTGTCACAATCGATTGCATCGAATCTGACCGTACACAGCCGAACAGAGGTATTATATACATACAATTAATTTTCTCTCATTTACTGTAACACTGATATTATAAGATGTAAAATAAAATTCATATAATCTTGTTTTAATTTTTTTGATTATACAGCTAAGAGTGGAAATCAAAATTGTGCAAAATCAGCCGTAGAATTGATGCGAGAAAAAATCGGGATATTGCGAGAACAAGCAACGTTTAACAAGCAAGTGCAAGGACGTCAAAATGAAATTGAAGAGAAAAAGTTGAAGATTTTAGAAGAAAACATGGCTTTAAAAAAACAAAAGTTTGAGTTCCTTAAAACTAGTCATTTAGAATATAAAAGTATGTTGACAAATATTGACGAAAATTTAATACGCTTAAAGGATGAAGTTGAAAAACTAGGGCCTTCTTATCTTACATAAAATATTTATATAAACTTATATAAAACATTGATATGTTTAAGTGTTTTTTTAATAAAGTGCAATACAATAAGTCTTATTAAATTTTTCATACAAAATATGCAATTATTACTTACAATGTTAAACAAATAACATAGCAAAGTAAATATTTTAAAATTACACCGAATTTTAATTGTCAAAATACATATGAATGATCCGCTCGCGAACTTCATTTCCATTTTCCATGTTTCCATCTTCATTTCTTATTGGAAGTTCCTGATCTATTTCATCATAATATAGCTCTGGTTCTGAAAGCCTCCAATGAACAGCGATATTATGTAGAACACATGTAGCGTTGACTATTCGGGCTAAAAATAAATTATGTAATTAGTATTATACAGGGTGTTACAGAGCGACTGTATCAGGCGTTTATTTGGAAAAATATGCATTTTCGTGAAAAATATTTCAGACAAAAATTGTTTAGTTTCGAGGGTAACATAAGATGGTGTCATTAATTTGACCTTGAATAGTTGCTTGAAGGTCATGTAAAGGTCACCTTCAATTTTTTAAATGGAACCCCCTATTGTTTATTATACTATGTTATTCTACTAATTAATATAAACAACTTTTGTCCGAACAGTTTTTTATTTACCTAATACTTTTTGAGATACTCAAGAGAAAATTTACAACTTTTTCAATGTTTAGCTTATGATATCTCGATAACTGTTTGTCGGAGGGAAAAGTAGTACAGGACTTTTGACTTGATTTGGTCTCAGAAATATGCTGTTACAATAGTGTTCCAATTATTGAAAATGTTTGTGTATGTAAATTTTGTGTATGTTACAATACACAAAAAATTTCAATAATTGGAACACTATTGTAACAGCATATTTCTGAGACCAAATCAAGTCAAAAGTCCTGTACTACTTTTCCCTCCGACAAACAGTTATCGAGATATCATAAGCTAAACATTGAAAAAGTTGTAAATTTTCTCTTGAGTATCTCAAAAAGTATTGGGTAAATAAAAAACTGTTCAGACAAAAGTTGTTCATATTAATTAGTAGAATAACATAGTATAATAAACAATAGGGGGTTCCATTTAAAAAATTGAAGGTGACCTTTACATGACCTTCAAGCAACTATTCAAGGTCAAATTAATGACACCATCTTATGTTATCCTCGAAACCAAACAATTTTTGTCTGAAACATTTTTCACGAAAATGCATATTTTTCCAAATAAACGCCTGATACGGTCGCTCTGTAACACCCTGTATAAGTATAGGATCGGTATTTGTAGTTCGATTTTATATTTAAAACTATCTTAGGTTCAATCTTAAGATATCATAATCCAACCACAGAATCGTATTAGCATCTTTAAATATTACTTAAAACGGTCTTGAAATAAAAATGGACTACGAATATCGACCTACATCTATTCTTTTTAGCTAAATTTCTTGGAACATTTATCTTTTCTCTTTTGCTTTCCAACATGGAGAGAAAAAGGGAAAAGATGAACACTGCAAGAAATTCAGCTGAAAAGTACAGACCTTATATGTGTAATGTAATACGAATATCTGTATGGATATATTCAATTTATATTTTACCTGCAACTTCTGGAGCATAGTGTAAAGCTCTTTCTTTCCTAAGACATCGCCATCTCCCCTTTAAAACACCTATGCATCGCTCAACAGAGCACCGAGCTCGGACATGATGTTGAGTGTATCTTGCGGATGGCGTTCCTTCTGGTTCATGTAGCTTAGGTGTCATCAAATATGGTAGTAAAGGATATGCACTATCACCTAGAACAAAATATTATTTAAAATATGCTTCTTAAATGCATTACCAAAACTGAAACAATTGAGAACAAATTATCAACTTAAATTACAGTTACCTAAAAGCCAGGCATCTCTTCGCCCTGCAGCGTGTATCTCTTCCAGATGATTCGATACAAGAGATGCTCTCCAAACTCTTGCGTCATGCGTTCTTCCGCCGTGAGCAGCATTTACAGTTAAAATTCGACCTTCGTAATCTGATACCTGTAGTTTACTGCATTTTTTAATAATGGGAAATTTATTCTTTATTATATAAATTGATGAAGAACATAGATAACCCTACGTAGATCATTTAATTCTTATAAATATGTTCCATTCAGTGAATATTTTATTGTATAATACATTTTAAGAATTTTTTAAATATAAAATTATTAAATTATTAATCAAGTAATACGTACAAGAAGTACATTCAGTGAATGATACAATTTGCGATTAATATAGAGATGCTCCCTTTCTCTATTTGGTGGAACAATTGCTACGTGAGTTCCATCGATAGCTCCAATAATGCCAGGAAATTGTGTACGTGTCCAATAACTAAAATTTAAACAATTTTTAATAAAAATTACTTAATAATTTTTAGATATTATTTAAAATAAACAGTTATTTTAAAATAAATGTATGAACCTTACGTTTCTTTAATCTGTTGAACTTCTCTTTCTTGAATGGGAAACTTGATGCATTCTTCCATCAATATATTTAACGCATTGACTACATTGCGAAGAATTTTAGAAACAGTAGGTTGACTTATACAAGATAAATAGTCTTGGCCAACTCGCTTTTGATACGAACCAGAAGCTATAAAATTTAATGCGCTTAAAACCTGTAACATAAAATTAGCATAAAAAATTAGAAACATTGATCGAGTCTATTAATTATTGTAACTAGATAACCCATGTTTCATACTTGTAATTCAACAGGAACTGCATTACGTCTTCTTGGAGCAGGTAAGAAAGGACGTAGATCATCAATAAGCACTCGTACAACTTCTCTGGATAAACTATGGAAATGTAAAAATTAACTTATTGTACACTCCTTTTATTCGCCTTTATATTACAGTCGTGTTTGTATTCTGTGTATTTTTCAAAATCCAAAGCATACAAGATGCAAAAAATATTCTAAGAAGTTAATATATTTATATATTTGGCTTCTATTTTAATCAAACAGTATATATTATATTTTTTTAATGTTTGAGATAGGCTCCAGACTACTACTGTGCTTTTAACTGAATGCCCCAGTTTTTTGAAAACCACTTCAAACAATAATATAGTTTTACAGGTTATGTTTGTAACAAAGTTAATCATATGTATGTATATGTACACATATAATCCAGAGAACATGCATGTCTAAAAGACGTCTTAAAGATGTCTTTTAGACATGCATGTTCTCTGGAAATCTAACTAAAAACACGATAATTTTTAGTCACTTACCTATAAAGACTCCGAAATTCATTTTCCGGCATAGAAAATGGATCTGATATATCCCGTAATCTTCGTCGTATTGTCAACATTGTGTTATCTCGATTTTGCATTAATAGCACAATCATTAAATTATCCATTTGGAGTGAGATAATGTCTGTTTAAGTTTTAATATCTTTCGTTTTTCACTCTTTCACACAAAATTTCGTGTCGAACCCGCTCACGCGAACAATATCATATTTTCACGAGGTGAGATCAACCGTAATTGGGTGAGCTGCTCACTTTCGTCATTTTCACCCAATCCGAGAACCGTAATAGACCCCCAGCATTTTCACTTGACTTTTCACTTGATCACGTTGCAATTGACCACGGTCCCGATCGACCACGATGCAATTGACCACGTTGCAATTGACCACGGTCCCGATTGACCACGTTGCAATTGACCACGCTCCCGATTGATCACGTTGCAATTGACCACGGTCCCGATTGACCACGTTGCAACTGACCACGTTGCAATT